CAAACACAACTAATCACCAGAGTCAGTAATAGCTAATATCACTAACTATACATACGCTTAATTCTAGCATTTTATTCTTACTACCTGATAGGATGTTAACCAGTTAACAAAACTGATCATTAGCGTTTTTCTTTTGTCAGGATAGTGAATAAACAGAAGTTATATATATATAGTTTTTCTCTTTCATTTAAACTATCCAAGCCTGAAAACAAAACAGCAAAGCAAATTTAAAAATGTTACCTCGTACAACTGAATCCATTTAAATGAAACTTTCTTTTCTTTCATCCTCTTAACCACTTCATTAGTGGAATTTGTGACACTGATTTTCAAAAGATTCTTCCACAACTTATCAGTTATAGGGCTGAGATCTCTTCCCTGCAAAAAGCGCATCAAGCATATTAGATGACCATTTCATTCTTGTTCAAATTTCACTAACAGTCAACAAAAACAACAAACAGAGCCCATCTTACCTTTGTGGACTTTTCCACATGCATCAATTGGTCAACAGTGCAGTGTGGCAAGATTCGCTCAAGCAGATGCTGATCAACATAACCAACATTTCCAAGGTACCTTACGTTATCTATCACTTTCTGAACGCAAAGGTCAACCAGGGTTGGTATCTTAGGGGCACAAATTTCATCTCTTCTTCTCATCATAACGCCACTGATCATCAAGAAATCAACACAACAATATAACTCTATTAAAAATACTGACCAACCATCAAAACTGACTAAATTCATCTGATATCTATACCTCTTATAGTTTTCAGTTAATCAACAAGCTGAGCCTATCATAGCCAAAATGATTGTTATTCCTAAAATATCACCCTTTCTTACTCGGTACATGAATTAGTAGCTAAATCAACCACAGCAGCAACAACACTCACAAAATTGAATCAGATCACATTCACTTGCAATCACAAATTGTAGGTATAATACCATTTAAAAAATCACTTTACCAAAGATGCCTTTTTTCTTATTGATTTCCAGTTTAAGAATCTTTAAATTGACAATATATACAAATAACATTCATAATTCATGCTACACCAACCACCTTAGGAAGAAATAAAAAAGACACAGTAAAATTTATCAATCTATTCAGTGAAAAAACAGCTAAAAAAAATCGAACTTGATCATATTAAATTCATGATATGAAAAACAGAAGATCTGTAAGGTTCTTCACTTTGTTTAAAAAATTTTACTTATTTATCTCTAACACACAAATCCCACAGTACCCTAATTCCCAATTTAATTTAACCAAATTGGAAATTCAAAAACCCCAAAAAGTCTATTAATTAAAAATTAAACAAAAATAAAATCGAAAATAGATAACTCAGATAATCAAAACAGAAACTCGATTGA